CGAGAAAGTGAGAGAGAGAGAGAGAAAAAGCCATTATGAAGGCCTTGTGAATCGCTTGATACTAATTAGATACCATTGTTAAATGGAATAAATAAACAACATACCCCACCATCTGGGAGCATCAGGCTTAGCTCGAACTTTAATTTCCTAATTTGGCTCAACAACATGATACACAACAGTAGCTGACCTTTACAGTATCATGGATCGGTACTTATTCGATACTTATACTTGGGTACGTGTATTTTAACGCAGTACATGGCCTGATAAAGATACATCCATCCAGTTGTTATCTCAAGTAAAACATGTTTTAAATGCGAGAAAAACATTAGGGAATCAGAATATGTTGCAAACACTCACTTGTAATCAAGGTTTATTGTCAGTGGCACTGACGTATGTACTGATGTAACTTTACCTTTCGCAAAAAACGATATTGGTTATCGCAAAAAAAAATCAACAATTAGGATACCAAATTTATATGAATAGACTAAAGTTGTAGGGATAACTAGGAGAGAGAAGGGCAGAGCTCCATGATAATCATGCCACCTGCATATATTGTGAGATGCATAAACAATTTGGCAAAAATGTATTTCACTAGATGGCATTCAGTGGGGTAAGTTAAGTCATGACAGCACAGCCATTTATGGGAAAAAAAAAAAAAAAAAAACTCTCGTAGGACTGTGCTGTTTTAAAGTAAAAAAAAAAAAAAGAAGTGATTTGCTCTCATTTTACAACCTAACAATTGCTGAATGACCTATATTTTTTAACAAGGTGTGAAGTAGCAACATTTCCCATTTAGTTTGGAAAACTTTCTCCACCCCTCTTTTGCTTCTTCAGTTCAAGTGCAGCAGTCCCCTGGCTTGGCATGCAACGGCAGTGTAGGTCGCCCTGCAGCCTGTTCAGCTGCCAGATCTCTTTGTGTACAAAGATGTTAATTGGTCCTAATCCACCACTCAAAGCTGTTTTGGTAGCCTGACCTCACACCCTGAAGGACACCTTGGTGTGAAATACTAAAGAGCCCATTCAAGTGGCACAGAAA